CTCTGCACCTAGGAAGCGACATAATGGCGATGCTGCCTGTAACCCCTGCTGCTGCTGCTGCTGCTTCTGCTGCAGCAGCAGCAGCAGCAGCAGCAGCAGCAGGAGGAGGAGATGAGGTTCGAGTGTCTCCTGCTGCTGGATGCTTGGGGGTGCTGCAGCGGCGGCAGCTGCTGCTGCAGCAGCACCTTAAGAAAGTAGATAAAGATATTGCTGCTGCTCGTTTGCTGCTGGGTGAGGGGGGAGAGGCTCTATGGACAGCAGCAGCAGCAGCAGCAGCAGGAGCAGCAGCAGGAGAAGGAGGAAGAGACAGTCCTGCTGCTGCAGCAGCAGCAGCAGCAGCAGACACAGCAGCAGCACCAGCACCAGCAGCAGCAGCAGCAGCAGCAGCAGCAGCAAAAGGCAGCACAGTGAATATAACTGCTGACGGCTTCATAGAGATCCGAGAAGAGCTCCTAGAGGGGGCTGACGAAGACACGGCCTTTCCCCCATACACACAGCTAGCTCCTGCTGCTGCTGCTGCTCCTGCTGCTGCTGCTGCTGCTGCTGCTGCTGATGCTGATGATGATGATGATGATGATGATGATGGTGGTGGTGGTGGTGGTACTGCTGCTGCTGGTGGTGGTGGTGCGGTTGCTGCAGCTGGTGGCGTTAAAAAACAGCAGCAACAGCAGCAGCAACAGCAGCAGCAACAGCAGCAGCAACTGCAGCAGAAACAGCAGCAGCAACAGCAGCAGAAACAGCAACAGCAGCAACTGCAGCAGCAACAGCAGCAGCAACAGCAACAGAAACAGCAGCAGCAGCAACTGCAGCAGCAGCAACAAAAAGACACGCCTGCACCTTCAAGGAGGCAGCCAGCTGCTTCACTTCACAGCAGCAGCAGCAGCAACAGCAGCAGCAGCAGAAGCAGCAGCAGCAGCAACGACGGCTGGGTGGGCGGCGTCCGGGATGTTATAGAAGAGCGCAGCAGCAGCAGCAGCAGAAACAGCAGCAGCAGCAGCAGCAGCAAGGACGGCTGGGTGGGCGGCGTCCGGGATGTTATAGAAGAGCGCAGCAGC